GGTTTTACAACTGATTGGATCTTGGGAGACTCTAATTTTAAATCATGTTTTGGAAATAATGGTTTTGTAAACACTTTTATTATTAAATGGGTTGTTTTGAAAGGTTTAAATTTGTTAAAATTTTTTGGATGTTACACAATGTGACATCCATTGAATATTGAGGATGAACACACCTGGAAGTCTTCGAAATAGGCATGAAAGCGGCGAGAGTTGAAGTTGGAGATTAGTTGTCTTCAAAGAACGTAGAAGAAAGTTAGAAAAACATCCTAAAAATGGGGAGTGTAACAACTTAACCAATTATCATTTAAAGAAATAAAGAATGATTCGGTAACGATGAGGAGCTGCTAATAAGAGCGAAGAAAGTTGGAGAAGGATAAACAGGTCACCTCAAATGCTTCACTCAATGGAAAGGGTGCTAGAAGTTGAAACGAGTCATCAATAACTTCTCAATTTCAAAATCTCCTCAAGGAATCAAGCCCTCTACCTTTTCCTCCTTCAAAATTGTCCAAATGGAAGAGGAGATACCAACTTAGGGTCTAAACTCTTAAGACTTTTCAATTAGTCAAGACTAGTCTCTTTACTTAGTTTGTTTGCAAAATATACCCTAATTGAATTTTAATAAGTCAAGTCTTTTAACTTTCAATTTGACATTAATATTAATTACTTATACAATTAAAGTCTCATTTGAGTTATTAATCGTTAATACAAGGTCACATACATTTATTTATAGACTTGAAAAGTCACCGACATCTTCTCATAAGGCACCTACATTAGAACCTATAAAATCAATTTTAACTACAACATAATTTATTTATTTAACTTAAATAAGTTTACTTTAAAGAAATTGTGATATGAAAGTATAGAACAACACAATAATTAGACATACAAACACAATAATTTACTATGCAACTCATTATGTATTTTGAAATTTTCCATAAAAAGGTCAAATTTCGAAACAAAAAGAAATCTTATTTACATTTGATAATGTGCTTTTAAAACTTACTATGTGACCAAAAATAAGTTTTGAAACAATTTTTGTTATAAAAGATTGTTTCGCAACTCATGATGCATTTGAAGACATGACCAAGTTTTAAACATGGTGATATTTTTGCTATTCTTACTTCATAAGAATGGCAATATAATTAAGAAAAAAATGATCATAATCTTGGTGAATATATCTCAGAAAGTTATGTGACCATCTAATAAGGACTAAAACTGTAAGAAAAAATCATATTGGGTCTAATCTGGAAAAATACCGAAACACATTGGACAAAAAAGTAAGTTAGTGTATAATAATCTTTTATACGAGTAAGAGAGTAGAGTGTAGTTGGATCACTTTAGCGCCACAGATTATTTTGGCCCTGTGTTTCTCTCAATCTGAATCCCATTGATGGTTGGAACGTGAAAATTCCAACTCAAATCCAATGGTTTTCTCTTTGAATTCATTCGTCGGCTTCACTTCGACGGTATGTTATCTTATTCTTTCTCATTTCCTCTTTTGGTTAATGGTTATGTTTCTACTTATCCTTTTGGCGTTTCAGTTTGATTCTCATTGTTGATCAGTTGAGTAATAATACCTTTAATCTAAATTCTTTATAATTCTGCTATCGTGATTCGGATGCCACGAAGTTGGAGGATTTCATGCTTTTTCACTTTGATTTTAATCAACGCATGTATGGACTAGAGAAAAATTAGCACCAAAAATGGTTTAGGGTTTCATGAGTTAGTTTAACAACTCATGGTGTGCTCAAAACTATCTTTTGAATCGATTTCTATGGTTTACGATTAGATATAATATTATGGATAAGGAGTTTCCATAGTTTGTATTTTATATAAGATTCATCTGATTTGGTGGAGGTAAACTGTAAACACACAGGCTAAACATCAAAATGTCCCAAGAGTGTGCATAGGAGCTTCAACACTAAAAGCCAGCCATTTCCCCTCTTCTTCTACATCACTTGTTTTCAGTAGAAGACCAATACATACAAGAAATCAAAGGTCTCTTTCAGTTTCAAACAGTGATAGCGTTACAACAGAAACCACTGAAAAGACATCAGAAATTCCTGAAATTTCCATTTCCATCAATCAGTCACTGCCCACTTCTGAAGCTGATCCTATCAAAAAGACACAACCCGATGAGGCTGCTTCTAATGGATCCATATCTTCTCCTTCTGAATCTGAACCAAAAAGATCAAAATTAACAGCAAGGGAGAAGCTAAAAGCAGCTAGGGTTCGCAGCAGATCCTCAGAACCAAAACCAGTTAAAAAAAGCAGAGATGGGAAGCAAAGTGTTGGAAGCTTTGAGGGAAAACGATAGAATATCAGGGAAGATGAGATCAGGTCTTCCAGAAGCACCAACAAATTTGTTTGATGACAGCAAACGTGGAATGCCCAAAAAGGGGTTGACATTTGAGCTACCAGTTGGATGGGATGTGTTTCTGATTATCCTTTCAGTTGTTTTGATAAGCACTATCATGTTTACAACTACCTTCATTGTTTGGAAGGTGGGTGCCATTCATTTCAACGAGAACTAGCATCTTCTTCAAACCTAATCATATATGCTTCAATGTAAAAACTTAGCTTCCCTTTATACATTTCATTGCTATAAAGCTTCTTTCTATTCATACCATCTGACATTCTTGTTAAAAGCAAACTTGTATCAGTTATATGTGTAGAGTTCTTGATCTTTTGTTAGATGCGTGTTTTAACAAGGTATGTTATAACTTCATTTCATTTTTTGAACTTTGTTGTGTTATTGTTGGAAGATTATGTGGGTAAGATTGAAAATTTGCTCTTTGTCTTGATCCCACATAGGAACATTACATTAAACTTTATTGGATGTGGGACACAATTCGAGAAGTAGGTTTTGTCTAATTGTCTCCTCCAGGGTTTCTAAACTCAGTTCCTGCCTTCACATACATGGGTCTTAAACCACAATAGAGAATTGGTTACTTATTGTAACATAAACTTGGGTTTAATGGGTAATAGCAAGTCACTTAATCGCAGATGTTGCTATCAATTGATAGACCCATGTAAGTTAGTTGTATAGAGAACAAACTTGAGTTTACAATTTAATAAAGTTTTGGAGACATTTTAGCAATGAAGATGTTGTAAAACCTTGTCCATATGATATAGAGGTGGTTTCGTCTCTTAAGTTTCTTGGTTTAAATCCATAGGATAGTAGGATACTAGAATCGATCTCCTCATACATATGGTCATTATTAAGCGGGGTTTAATCTTCATCACAAAAAACTTTCCAACTTGGAGATTTAAGTAAATAAGGTTGAAAAGTTATTTATGTTGATCCCACATAGGAGAGTGACTATTGGGTTTATATACCCAACACTTCTCGCTATTGTAGTGGAATGGTAATAAAATAAAAACCATTAACAAGGAGCTAGAAAAAAAAAAGTTGCTGAAGTCATAGCAGGATTTTTAACTTTTATGCCATCCCATCCAACTAAAATTATAATTTTCCTTGCCAATTAGAAATCCAAAAGCACGAATAAGACTAGTCATCAAAATCAGTTTTAAAGTACAATGTACGAAAAAAAAAATGATACAAGTCAAACAAAATGAAAAATTCGCTACTTTGTAACAGTTAAATTAAACAACGAAACAACAAAAGTTTATAGACACTTTTTTGAAATTGTGATGATTTAATATTTACCAAAGTGTAATAACTTAAATAATTTTTTTATTAAAATATATGTTATTGTTTTTGTTTTTATTTTTATCGTGTAGAAAAAGAAAAGTAAAAGTTTGTTTGCAAGTGCAAGCAGTTGCGATGGTCAACAATCACGGCCACAAAATGTTGTTTCTAGTCCCATCCCAGTTGAGTTACGGCTCGTCGACGGACCTCACTCGTTTTTTACTTAATTCTTAATCTAATTATTAGTTAAACCCTTCCCGTCGTTTAAAATTAATCTCTAGTGAATTGTTAACTTTCTTGTTAATCCTGGACTATTATTTTGTGTTGGTTGAATATGTTATAAATATATGATAGCTAATTTATTAGCTTTTAATTGTAATTTGTAGAAAAATGGAAGGGAGTTGCATTCACTTTAAGTGGTATTGTCCGTAGTAGAATGTACAATCTAATTAAACATGCATCAAGTAAAGTCCAAGTCCAACCAACAACTGCACAAAATAGAATAGAATTGTCAACTCATATATAAGTATAACAACGGTGTCGTTTGCTCTTTTTTTGGCAATGCTGTTACAACTCGCATAATCAGATTCAGTTGCAACCAACATAAGGTAAGATTTGGATGCCTCCCGAATCTCAGATTATTGTTTTATAATACCACCCATGCACCAATTAAATATAAATATCATATTTTTTATCTATAATTTAATAGATACATTCGATTAATTCTTTTTTAAATAATTCTTATTACATCCAACAAAAATATTAGATATAAAAATAACAACATATTTTCAAACTATATAATATTCCAACAAAACTGAAAATATCATATATATTATTTTTATTTATTTGTTATTATTATATATCAAATAGAAATAAAGGAATTTTTACTTTAATGATTGCATAAAGTTTTCAAACAAAAACTGAAAATACGACATCGTATTATTGCAATTAAACACAAAAATATATGTAAAAATTGATAAAATATATTGCAATTTTTATATCGAGCCCTATAAAACGTATAAAAAACAAATCGTTGTAAAATTAAATTGTGGGTAACAGAGTATCAATTAAAATTGTGGGTAACATATCGTTGTAAAATTAAATTCTTAACTATATGCATTGATAAACAAAAAACAAAAATTAAGCCAAACAAAACAAAAGTATTAGGTGAAGCAAAGTTTGTTAGGAATTTAATGTTAGTTTTAACCGTCTCCAAATAAAATAAATAAATGAAACAGACGCACGAGCAGTTTATGGTTCATGCCAACTACTCCCCCTGGCCTTCCTGAACGGTTAAACCTAACCTCTCCTTCACTTCTTCTTCTTCTTCCTCTTCATAACCCCCACCCACCCTCCCTCCCTCAACCGTTTCAATTACACCCATCTGCATCACTTCAAAATTCAAATCCTCCAATCTCAAATTACATTTCATGGCGGCATCAGACGACGGCGGAGGAGGAGGAGTAGGAGGCAAGATCAAGGGATCCTGGAGCCCACAAGAGGACGCCACCCTCATGAAACTGGTGGAGCAACATGGACCGCGCAATTGGTCCCTCATCAGTTCCAGTATCCCAGGCCGATCTGGAAAATCCTGCCGTCTCCGGTGGTGCAATCAGCTCAGCCCTGACGTGGAGCACCGTCCATTTACTCGTGAAGAGGACGACGTCATCGTCAGAGCACATGCAATCCATGGCAACAAGTGGTCAACGATCTCCAGGCTCCTCCCTGGACGCACTGATAACGCGATTAAAAACCACTGGAACTCAACTCTCCGCCGACGAGGCGTCTCAAACTCCGGTGTTTCCGTTGCCGTTGCGAAACGACCACTCACAGATGGATCCAGCGAGTCAACCCAGTCGGATCATCTTCCTGCATCCAAGAAGCAATGCTCCCGTAACTCCGACCACAGCAGTTGCGACGGACCTCCGACGGTTCTGACGCTTTTGCCACCCGGGGATATCAAAATCAAAACGGTGGAAGAACAAGTAATAACGGAAAAGAACGCAGAGGTGGATGATGACGCGGAGGAGAAGTCGACGGTGGAGATGGAGAACACGTGTCTGGTGACGATCATGAAACGTATGATAGCAGAAGAGGTTCGGATTTATATTAACGAACTAAGATCCAAAGAAAGGCATCTTTCGTCTTAGTTCAAAGTAACTGAAACGTTCATTCGCATTTTCATCTTTTATTTCATATTTCAAATTCAGATTATTAAAATCCATATAATACTTCTGAAAAAAATAATAATAATAATAATATTTAAAAACTTTAGATTGTAGGGCTTTACCCAATTAAGGGAGCCCTTCCAGAAATTCTCGATGGCCAAGGGAGACCCAAGGCCAAGGAGGGGGTTTGGAAATAGTTTTCAACCAGCAATTGACGCGCCTCGGTTATTACCTCATTAGCTGCGTCATTGCCCCAAGCGCAAAGATGTCTCTTAGGGTTGCCAACATCTCTCATTTTATAGGAAGACATCTCTCTCCTACTTTTCATTTTTCAGCGATGTGGGACTAAACTCATATATCATCTATATGACTATCTATGCGCTTCTCAATTCACCTCTTCAAACAATTCATTATTTCTTAAATTAACTATTTGAGTTATCTGAAAAACTATAAAATATATACTGTATATCAGAAAAATATTGTTTGTAGAAAAGAAAAGACCACTTCAAAAGTGTAAACGTGTAATTTTTTTTTAAACCTTTTGGTGATAGTTAATTTTGTTGCAACTCTTATGAAATTATATCGTTATTTGACCGTTTAAGTGGTAGAGGTTTAGTGGCCAGATGCCCAGATATGTTTATCCAAAGAGTTAAAAGTTGATATTTTACAACGTCATTAAAGGTGATTATTACAATCTCAACTCGTAATAATCAGATATTCTATCACAAAATGCACCTCAATCACCTTGTTATATTTTATTATTACAACTGAAAATGGAAAAGTCAAGATAAACATTATCGAAATATAGATAAAGAAAAAATATATTCATTACTATATTGGTTTCATGGTTATAAATATTATCATTGTATATTATTATTATTATTATTATTATTATTATAAATAAAAAAGGTAAAAACTCCGGATAAAATATTGAATCAAAAAGTAAAACTTGTAAGTTGTAACACCTTATTTCATGGTTATTATTTTGTGTATGTGGATCTTTTTTCCGCCTTTCATATGGTGTTTCTTTTCTCTTTTGGATGATGAAAGCATATTTTATGATGTCATATATTTTGACATCATTAAAATCAGTTTCCCATAAAACTACTAAATAATCCAAATTAACCTAATCAAATCCTTATCAACCAGTGTGCAACATCAACATTTCAGTATTCACTATTCATCAAAAAAAATCTTTTGGCTTTTCTCCACAAGGTTATGAGAATGCAAAGAAAGGAGAAGTATGTAAATTGAACAAGTCACTTAATGGATTAAAGGAAGCTACTAGACAATGACACATTGAATTTTGTAACAAATTGTTGAATTTTGGATTTCAACAATCTCCACATGATTATTGTTTACAAAAGGAGGAGAAACATATTTTGTAGCTCTAGTAGTGTATGTTGATGATGTTTTAATTACATGCCCCGATTAAGCACTTATCACCGAGGTCAAAAATTAACTACCTCAACCTTTTACCAAAGATATTGGAGATGCAAGTTACTTTCTGGGAATTGAATTACTGAAATTTGAGAAGGATCTTTATGTTAATCAAAGGAAATATGTCTTGGACATATTATCATAAATGGGGCTAACATAGGCAAAATTGGCATCTAATCCAGTCGTTAAGAACATGTAATTATGTTTAGGAGGAGCGAAAATACAAAAAGAATCAGAGAGTATAGAAAACTAGCAGGAAAGTTGTTTTATCTTAATTTCATCAGGCTTGATATAAGTTATAAAATGCAACAATTAAATCAATATCTACATACTCCAACTCAAACACACTGGAAGGCTGCAATACAAGTGTTGAAATCGTAAAGGGTCATCAATCAAAAGGTTTATTCTTTTTGAAAAATTCATCAAAATTATAAATTACAGCCTATAGTGACTTTGATTGAGCTACTTGTAGAGACACTAAAAGATCATTAACCGGCTATTATACATTTATTGGGTCATCCTTAATATTATTGAAGACAAAGAAGCAAAAGATTGTATCAAGATCATCATGTAAAGCATAAGACAAAAGTCTAACTGCCATTGTGTATGAACTATTATGATTACTTACGTCATCAAAGATATGAAGGTTAAGATGAAAAATCTTGTTGCATTATGGTGTGATAACAAAGTTGCAATACACATTACAGAAAATCTAATATTTCATGAGAGAACAAAGCATTTGGATATTGATTGTCATATGGTAAGAGATTAATATAAACTTGGTTTGTTCTTCCAAAGCATGTATCAACAAAACAACAAGTTGCAGACTTGTTCACAAAGACATTATATGGTCTACAATTTCAGATTTTTTTTGTATCCTAGTTGAACCTTCAAGATGTTCACCCAAGTCCAACTTGAAGAGAGAATGTTAAGATTCAACACGTGGAGAAAAGTCAGTTATGAATAAGTTAGTTAGTTAGTTAGCTCAATGTAATTTTTGTTAGTTAGAAATAGTTACAAAATAGCAACGTACTTTTGTTTTATATATAGAAAGTAGTGGTAAGGAGGATGTCACGGACTTAGAAAGCCCAACGCCGTAATTTATGGAGGAGAAAGGGCAATAACCTACCTATGATTCATCAACTAATACATAAAAAATTAATTACGATACTATGTTGTTTTTTGTGTAACATCCGGATTTCTAGGTATTATGTTTGATCATTTATTTTATGAGTAAAAGAGAGGGACTCGACGAGTTGAGGCGTAGACTCGTCGAGTAGGACTGTGATTGCTGACTGGATTAATGAACGGACTCGACGAGTCGAAAGGGTGGACTCGACGAGTCCGCGCTGTAAATTGAAACCCTAATTCTCGGGGTCTGTGCCCTATTTAAAGGCCTTTATGGCCTCCATTTGCGGCCACTTCACCCCTGAGAAACCCTAGAGAGCAAAGAGATCGTTTGTGGTGCAAGAGGAAGGCTAATTCACCATTTCTTGTGTGTTTTAGCAAGAAGGAAGGAGGTAGAACAAGCTAGGCGGGTTGAGGAGCTTGGATCCACTTCTATTTGATCAGAGGAAGCTGTTGGAGGTAACAATCTGTGCCATTCTCGTGTTTATTATGATTCTAGTGAAATCTAGGGTTTTCTTTATGCCTCTTTAGTTGAATCTTGAGTATGTGAGGTCCCAAGGCGAGTTGGTTCATAGATCTGGACCTTAAGAGGTCCAGAGATGTGACATCCCCAAAATCACGGCCAGAAAATACCGGTTTCATTTATGCTTTTAAATAAAATCAGAATAATCTTTTAAAGAAAACGGTTGCGGAATTTGTTCCCAAACAAGATATGATAAAACTTTATCAAAACATTTCTCAAAGAGAATGTACTTTTCATTAAATAATAAAATCTCGGGATGTCATGTTCCGATACAAACCAAAAGCATAAACAGATTAAAATGGACCTTACAACAGTTATTTACAACTACTGGTCTATAATCCAGAATCTCTCGTCAAGTCAACCAACTTATGCTCTTGTGCCTTTACCTGTAATGCAAAGAAAACTGAGTGGGTCAGGCTTGGGAGCCTGGTGAGCATATAGGGTTTTCAACTCACAATAATACAATTATTATACTCAATCATCAAACAATCAACCCAATTACCCATCCCCATTATCTTCTTTATTTCTTAAGGTTTTACCCTAAGAATCAACTATCCTTCATTCATTCATTCCTAAGGATTGACCTAAGGAATTGGCACAAAATCCATTGCTACATAAAGCGCATCTGCCAACTTTATCCTTTAAGCCCCTCTGCCAGGATTACGACATTCACTATTAGGCGCATCTGCCAACATTATCCTTTAAGCACATCTGCCAGGATTATCCTATAAGCGCATCTGCTAGTATTATGACATTCTCTAATTGGTGCGTCTACCAATATTATTCTTAATCATCTTACATACCTCATCATTGATCACATACCAACTATCTCATCTACCCATGTTATACCCAACATATTAGTAGATATAAAATACATATACAGTTTAACTCATTTAAAAACCTGCACCAAACGTTGCATTTAACACCATCTCAGATAAACAAATAATTTATTAACACATAGTACGTAATTCATAGCAAATACTTCATATTTATGTGTTAGAAGAAAGTGACTATACACTCACTTGATAAGACAATGATCGGACAGCACCTCGTCTCTTAAAATAAACTTTTCCGATAAAACCGGGATGTTTTTCTTGAAAACCGGGCTTCTCGCGGGCAGAGTTTCGGCTCAGAAACTTTACTTCTCGGGATCTTCGGGACTTCGGAACTTGCTTCGGGGCTCGGGAATGATACCGGGGCTTCGAGGTAAAAGTTGCACGCAAAACGATGCAAAACGGGAGAGAGAGAAGAGAAAAGGAGCAAAATGGCCGGCTGCCCTCGCATCCTTTATATAGGGGCAGAAGCCTCGCATTACGCTGGGCGTAATGCTCAGCTACGAGGGGCGTAGCGCTTCGGAAACGTCACTGCATGCGTCATCGGAGCACTCGAGTGCGAGGCGGATCACGCTTCGGTGTACGCTGGGCGTACAGCTCTACGTTGGGCGTAGTTCGGATAGGATCAGCGACTCCTTCGGATAAGCTTTGGTATGCGTGCCACGATCTTCAAAAATTCATAACTTTCGCATACGAGCTCCGTTTTTGACGTTCTTTATATCCACGCGTAGGTGAGACTAAGCTCTACAACTTTCGTTTAGACTCTGTTGGCTAATTTTGACTTTATTTTTATTGTAATATTTTTAGTAGGCCGGGACAGGAAAACTCCGTTATAAATTCATAACTTCTTCATCTGACGTCCATTTCGTCTCTCTTTTTACCGTTGGACTACTAACGATGAGATCTTCAATTCTCATTTAGAAAGTTTCGGCTAGAAACCACTCGATCTCATATTCGAACTTCGAGCTGCATACTGCTAAGTTGAAACTTCGGAAAATCATAACTTCCTCATACGAAGTCAGATTTGGGCATTCTTTTTATGCACGCTCTCGGTTTAACTAATTCTACAACTTTCGTTTAGATCGCTAAGGCTAAATACCGCTCTATTGTAAATTCACTTTTTACGTCATTCAGCGTCGTGCCGGTTCTGTCGCGAAACTTCGACAGATCATAACTTCTTCGTTATAACTCAGATTTCGGCATTCTTTATATTTTCGGAAATCTTGTGACATATACCTCAACTTGGTTAAGATTATTCATTCTAAACAAACTTCCATCAAAAAGTCATTTTTTGATGTTTATCGTCTCTAAATTGACTAGCCCGGATTTACGGGTGTTACAAGAGAGTCCTTACCAATCTGCTTTATGCCATACCTTTTGAGTTATGAGCCTAGGAGGCCATTTTAGAGGTTATTTCTCC